TCTCCATTTCATTCCATCCAGATGCTCTGTAGTTTGAATAGTAAATTGATGGTTCTCTCATCTGTTTCACTCTATGTCCATGCATTGTTGGTCCCTTGAGATCAATTCCCCACACCCCAAAAAGAATCATCCTTTAAAAAACTGAATCTGATCTTGCCTTTTTCTCTTTCACACCATTCATAGGCTTCTGAGTACCAAATCCTTAATTTGGCCTTTCAGTTCCTGTATAGTCTGATTGGTCACCGCCCATCTCTCAGAAAATCATTCCCTTTCCTCAGCAGGGTGCATTTCTTTCTTCCTCAAGGCCTTTGTGTAAGCAGGTCTGATTGTCTAAAGTGCCTCTTGGCCTGCCCCCCCACCCCCCCCAGCTTACTCTTTCACCAGATTGCAGCCTACATATGAATTCTTTATCAGGGCCTCTCTGACTCCTCGTTCCCTTTACTATACACTCATGTTCCTTACACTTCCCAGAGACCCTAAGCTGCATGAGGACAGAAGGTGTCTCTGCCTCATACAGTGCAGACTCCGCCATGTTTAGTGAGCTGTTCCGCTCAGATTCAGTGTTCTACAAATACTCATTGGTTACTGGATGCAACATTCAAAATTTAATTTTTATCTACCATCTATCTTCACTCACATTCTGCCTCACATTTTCTGTTTATCTCTGAGGAAACCCTGTGTTGTTTACATTCTTAAACTTATTCTCTTCTGTGTTGAATTGTCTGTCCAGCCTTTCCTAGCTGCCCCCTAATTATCATCAGCAGGCAACATTTGTCAGCATCACCAGGTAAAGCTCAGCAAATGGCTTTGATATGGCCCTTACCATGTGTCTTAAATTACTCATTTGATTACATGCTTTTCTATATAAGGGTTGCATCTAGTTTCCTTCATAGCAGGGGCATTGTTGTTTATGTATACTCTTCTATTTTTTTTTGTTACTGGGGATTGAACCCAGAGGTCTAACCACCGAGCCACATCCCCAGCCCAAAGAATATATTTTATTTTGAGACAGAGTCTTGCTGAGTTGCTTAGGGCCTAAGTTGCTGAGGCTGGCTTTGAACTCTTGATCCTCCTGCCTCCTGAGCCACTGGGATTACAGGCGTGTGCTATCATGCCCGGCCTCTTAACATCAACACCAAACACAGATTGAACTGAATTGAAAATTGAGATGCCTTATAACTAGAGATGAATGTTGATAATTATTGGCTGCCTTCTGTAAGCTGGGTATAGTTTTAAGTGCTTTACTCTATTTAATATTGACTTTTGTCAACCCCTATGAAGGAATTTTGTTCCCATATTCTGGATTAGGAACTGGAGACCCAGAAGGTTTATGTAATTTTAACCAGCTGGTAAGTGGAAATGTTGGAGTTGAAACCTACTGATTCATGAGCCTGCCTTCATCCATGCTGATCACTCAGTATAGCCTTCAAAACTGGGACTGGAATCTGTCGGTTTTTAATTCTGGTTCTTCAACTTACTTGCCCCAGGGTAAAGTTCTTCTTTACATAATGGGAATAATTACATGTCCTTAATAGAGGTGTGCTAAAGATTAATGACAATCAGTCCACATAAAATATCTGACAGAATGTAGGCAGTTGTAGTTAAGTCAGTGTGTGAGCACTCGTTGGATAGATCTTTTGGGGTTCTTTCCAACTCTGAATACAATGGCTCTGACTTTTTATAGTTCCTCTGTCTTTTTCCTTTGCCATTACCTGTTACTTTTAATGCTCTGGTATTTATCCTAAACAATCAAGGGCATAAGGACATGTGTGCAGTTCTTGTAAGATTTATGGATTTTGTGACAAGCACACATTGCCTAAAATCCACCTTCCTGATATCCCATGCTCCATGGGTTAGATGGCTCAGTTAAAGACCCTTGGCTGGAGAGAGCAGCTGAATTCTTGTTTACAGCTAGACCAGTGCAGAAAAAGAAATACAAATAATAAATTAGTGTTTGATTTTTGACTTTTAATTGAAATGTTTTAATAGTAAAAGAATAAGAATATAAAGTTAACTCATTGACATTTGTAGGAAATTAGGCAAAGGGCATTTTAGGTGGTCTATGCTATTAAACTCAGTAGTAAGTCAAATGAAAATTTTTAGCTGTTTAGTTGATGATTTAATTGAAAAGATAATTCATACTGTGTCTAATGACACTTTCTTCTTTTTTTAAAAGATAGAGAAGAGAGAAGAGAGAGAGAGAATTTTTTAATATTTATTTTTCAGTTTTCAGTGGACACACGTCTTTATTTTATGTGGGGCTGAGGATTGAACCCAGCGCCCCGCTCATGCCAGGCGAGCGTGTTACTGCTTGAGCCACATCCCCAGCCCATAATGACACTTTCTTATTCAATGAATAATAAAGGTTATTATTTCCATACGCTGAAAGTAGCAGAGACATTGGTAGAAAGTATTTTTATTTCTTTGACTTGTGTGCAAAATTAATAGCTACTTATTAGTAGTTTTGCAACAATACAGTGAACTTTCTAGAAGTAAATGTGTTTCTTAAATAAAGTTTGTCTATTTGTCCATTTATTTGCCTTACTCAAAGATAGAACAAAGCAAATAAAACAAAGAAAAACTTATAATAGGTGAAACTACACACTGCTGTGACATCAGGAGGGAATTCTGTTCACCAAATGAGTACCCTGTAGTCCAAAACACATGGTGGAGGCAGGCCTCTATTACTGCATACGGAGGGAAATGAGAAAAAGCTGTATGATTTATACCAGCCATCAATAAGCAAAAATCATTTGGTTGGGGGTGGTAGAGTGCTTGCCTAGTATATGTGAGGCTTTAGGTTGGATTCCCAGCGCTGAAAAAAAAAAAATATTGAGAAGCACAACTATTACTGTTACCCAGACTAGAATTGTGTCTGTTTTATTGAATGTGACAGCACACTCAACATCCCTCTTAAAGAAAACAAGCTATACAGGTTTTTTGGTGCTATTTTCTTTAATACAGACTTTTTTTTTTGATGTCATAAAAATTATTTCATTAGAAGTAATTCTACACGTGTCTATTGTGCAGCTTATGAATATTCTGGCTTAATGTAGGAATTGATTTATGATGGCTACATATTGCAAGGCAGCCAGAGCCTGGCCAGGGTAATTTCTCCTGGTCAGGAGGGGATAATACACCTGAGAAAATAGTCTGAAATAATTAGTGAAGAAATAAAAGACAGAGTCAGAATAGGTTTTAAAGCAGAGTGCCTGGGAGATCCTTCCAGTCCTTTTAGGAGCTGGAACAGAATAATTAAAAAATGGCTCCAGTGGTTTATTTAAGGAGGTATATCAAAGGCAGGGATAAGGTTTCAGGGGCAGAGTCTTGCTTCTTGATGTCTTGCAGTCAACTGGTTGATTGGCATCTTGGCAGGCTACACACATCTCAGAGAGGCTGTGTAGCTACAGTACCATCTCCAATGCTGTGTGGGAGTTGGCAGAGCTGAATAAGACTCATGTGTATGGCGGTGTTAACCAGTGGGATTGCCACTGGAAGGTCCCAAATACTAGATTTTTCTATTCAGTGGGCTTCCATGTCGATTTGGTCCACACGTAGTCCATGGATGGCTCTTGACAGCTACAGATAAAAAGCAACTAAATTTTTGTTAATAACCCTGCTCTTTTTTGTTTTCCCAATGAGGTCTTGGTGAGTATTGATTAGATATTAGTTTTAATCTACATAAACAGACATACCTGGAAATTGGAAGTGCCACATGGGAGTGAGATAGATGTGGTGGGCAGGGCTGAGGTTTTCTTTAAAACATTTTTTTTTTTATTGACTCAAAGTTCTGCACCATAGAACTTGAGTTTTTAAAATAACACAGTGAGGGCTGTGTTGTGGCTCAGCGATAAAGGGGTTGCCTAGCATGTATGAGGCACTGGGTTTGATCCTCAGCACCACATAAAAACAAAGGTATTTTGTCCACCTATAACTAAATAAATGAATGAATAAATAAATATTTTAAAAAATAACATAGTGAATGTCAAGATCACTTCTGGAGGATTTTTGAAACCAAACCCATCTTCCATCTGTATAGTTTTCAATTTGGTAGTCTTGAGGTAAGGTGAGGGCATCTTCATTAAAACAAACAAACAGAAAAAGCACACAGTGATTCTGATGATCAGTGAAGTTAAAGCTAATGCCAGAGATCATGCCACATTAATTTTATTTTTTTTTTAATTTTTTATTGTGGGTTGTTCAAAACATTACAAATTTCTTGACATATCATATTCCACACTTTGATTCAAGTGGGTTATGAACTCCCACCTTCACCCCATACCCAGATTGCAGAATCACATCAGTTACACATCCATTGATTTACAAATTGCCATACTAGTGTCACATTAATTTTAAATAGAGAAAAAATTTGAAGCCAATGTAACTAAATACACCTTAGCCATGAAACTTTATTTTATGTCTAACATCATGTGTTTTTGTGAACTGTAAATTCCTTAAGGTACTTTCCAATTTCTAAGCCATTTCTGAAATGTAAACTAGACAATTGAATAGGGTAACTTAATATGGGTTTTATGAGTAATCCAACTTAAAGCTTTGCTGTATTTGTTGGAAATAACGATTTTGAATAGTTAATATGTATTCTGGGATAATTTTTATTTTTATCATTGTCTGATTACATTTCTATATAGAGCAAACATATTTCAGTAATGATATTCTTTCTAGAGAGAATTTTTGTATTTTTAGACCTTAAAATTTATAGTGAACACTTATACATTCTAATGTTATTTGAGGTCTTCAGAGGTACCTTTATTTATAGGCTTTCAAATGATAATAAAAAAAATGGTAGCCTGAGTCAGTATCCAACGTACTTATCTTCAGTGGTACCCTATTAGTTATAAACACAAGCTTCAAATATGTGGTAATTTTTGTTTGAAGTAGAAAACCAAGCCCATAGGTATATGTCTTAATTCTCTGTTAATATTTGTAACAATGGAAATCTTGCTTAAGTGTCTAATGGTCACTTTTCACGTTCTTTCTAGGCATTGCATCTATGACAGTGCCAGTGTACATTGCGGAGGTCTCGCCACCCAATCTAAGAGGCCGACTAGTCACCATTAACACCCTCTTCATCACAGGAGGACAGTTCTTTGCAAGTGTTGTCGATGGAGCCTTCAGTTATCTCCAAAAGGATGGGTGGAGGTTTGTAAATAGTTTTTATATTGAATTTGTCAAATAAATTATGAATTTCAGAAGTGGGAAAAATTGAGAAATTATAGGCAAAATATAACTGGATATTTTGAGTTATTATAGTTTAATTTGTAAGTGGATGGCATTCAGCAAAATTGAAAGTAGACAGGAAGCTGATATTTATTTTAATGATAGAAAGGAATCTACCATTAAGAATTGATATTTACCAGGTTTTTAGCATTTAGGTGACATTTCTCACATTGTGTGTAATCTTTTTGCAATATTTGTTTAAAAATGAATGCAGTGATAAATATGTATGGTGTTCTTGAATTATGTCAGTGATTGATAAGTGGTTTATGAACTACAGATAGAACTTACATCCTTTTTTGGATTTAGGAAACTACATTCTGATCTGAAGAAATGTAGTTGTTAAAGATACAGGTTTAGTTATATTAAAAAATATTATATGTGTAGATTTAAAACATAGAAATTATTCTTTGGTTGTTTGAGGTTTCTTTTTAACCAGAAGAAATGAGAAAAAGTGATATTGAAAATATTAAAATGAGGAGGGCTGGGTATATAGCTCGGTTGGTAGAATGCTTGCTTTGTATGCACAGGTCCTGGGTTCAATCCCCAGCACCAAAACAAAACAAAACAAAACTATTACATTAAAGTGAATCCAAACTGAATATTGTTAAAAAAAAAACTACTTTTATGTTAAAGCTTGAAGATAGAGGCTCTATATTCTATATTTTGAGTTCTTAATTGATGGTATTCAAAACAACAGATTCATGTAACCATTCCAGGGAAATTTTATTAGAATGGATGCCGGTCAAATGGTATCGTCTAACTTGTTTCCTTGCCATTGTTTATTACAATAAATGTTGATTCAGCAGCTACTTTGTATTTGGCATAGAATATTGAGCAAGACAGACTCAAGTTCTAGCTTGTATGGCATTTTCAGTGTTGAAGTTAATCCTGACATCTAAAGGGGAAGGTTCAGAGGTGTTGAAGGTGTGGGGAATTGAGTTTTGTAAATAGTGTAATAAATCATTTGGCTTAGGGAGAGCCACTGAAGATAGCTGGTGGAGTTTTATTAGAAGTCATGGGAGAAAACTCTTTGACACCAGTGAGGGCCTCCATTTGTCAGGACCATTAAAGAGAGGACTCATTTGTTACAGGTGGTAGCTGTGTCTGTAGATACTGCTAAATTGCTTTCCACCTTTGAAACAATCAGTCTCTGCCCAAGTGAGAAGTTATTGGAAAATTGAAGAAGCGGGGAATTTTATCTTTCTTTTCTACTGTAGGTGAAGTAAAAGAGGTAGATGGTAATTATTATCACTATTACCTGGTATTTTTTATTTTTCATGGAAAATCAGAGAAGTCATTTAATCCTTAAGCATGCATGTCTTCAAAAAGATCTAAACCATTTATTTACGTTTTATTGAAACATTTTATCAGCATAACTAATAGGTATATATTCATATTTACAGTACACTAAGTTCATAAGCCATATTTCTCACTAATGGGTATTAATTTAAGTACATTTTCTCCATACTGGAAAGGAAAACAAGAAATCATGTAGTAGTGAAAATGAATTTGTGAGTGTGGTGCATCTGTGTAGAAGTGGAGGGTTTTTGGAGACCCCTTTCCTTAGGCAGGGCGTTTTAGTCAACTTTCTCACCATTGTGACCAAAAGATGTGAGAAGAAGAATTTTAGAGTAGGAAAAGTTTATATGGTGTTCAAGATTTCAGAGGTTTCAGTTCGTGGATGCCTGACTCCATTACTTGGGGCTGGAGGTGAGACAGTACATCGTGGCAGAAGGGTGTGACAAAGGAAAGCAGCTCAGAACACATCAAACAGAAAGCAGATAGGGCTCTCCTCACCAGGGACAAAATGTAAACCTTAAAGGCATATCCTTGGTTACTTACCTTGCCAACCAGTTAATCCCTATCAAGGGATTGATGCACTGATTAGGTTAATCCTTTTACAACCCAGTATCAGTTCATCTCTAAACTTTCTTGCATTGTGTCACGTATGAACTTTGGGCAGATGCCATAATACAGGTGACAAAGTCATAGATCTGAATCCAAATCTGTTTTCTGCCATTCATTAGTTGTAAACCTGGGACAAATTATTGAACTTCTCTGAGCTTTATTTTCCTAAAACAAAAACCAAAGGAACCAAAAGTACTTACTTGAAAGATTACTTTGGGAAATAAATTATTATATGTAAAGTGTTCAGCCTAATGTTTGGCACATTAATACCAGGTTACATTATTTACTATTCTAATAAATAAATCAAAGATGGGCACTATTGTAGGTATGTTGTAAGATAAACTGAAGTAAGCTCAACATTGCGTGGTTTCTATTTTCCTTATTACTAAGGTTACGGCTTGGAGGTGGTAGAGCTTAGGCCTGGGTAAAAGAAATGTTTTCTAGAGACATATGATCTACCTAAATTGAATCAGGAGGACATAGAAAAATTAAACAGATCAATTTCAAGAAATGTAATTGAAGACACCATTAAAAGCCTACCTATGAAGAAAAGCCCAAGACCAGATGGATTTTCAGCTGAGTTCTACCAGATCTTCAAAGAAGAACTACCACCAATCCTTCTCAAATTATTTCACGACATAGAAAAGGAAGGCACCCTTCCAAACTCAATTCTATGAAGCTGGTATCACCTTGATACCCAAATCAGACGAAGACACATTAAGGAAAGAAAATTTCAGACCAATATCCCTGACGAACATAGATATAAAAATTCTTAATAAAATAATGACAAATCACATACAAAAACATATTAAAAAGATAGTGACCATGATCAAGTGGGGTTCATCAAAGGGATGCAAGGTTGATTCAACATAACGGAAGTCAATAAACATGATGCATCACATCAATGGACTTAAAGACAAATACTACATGATTATCTGAATAGATGCAGAAGAAGCAATTGACAAAATTGAAAAAGTTGTATATGCTAAACCCTAGGCCAACATTTTTCTAAATGGAAAAAAATTAAAGGCATTCCCTCTAAAAACTGGAACAAGACAGGTATGCCCTCTTTCACCACTCCTATTCAACATAGTCCTTGAAATCTTAGCCAGAGCAATTAATTAGAAGAAAGAAATTAAAAGGCTATGATTAGGGAAAGAACAGCTCAAACTACCCCTATTTGCTGCCAATATGAGTCTATATTTAGAAGACCCAAATACTCTACCAGAAAACATATATATAAATCTCATAAATGGACAAAATACCTTTATTTTATTTTTATGTGGTGCTGAGTATCAAACTCAGTGCCTCATGTGTGCAAGGCAAGCACTCTATCACTAAACTACAACCTCAGCTCACGAGGAAGCTTCTTGAACTCATAAACAAATTCAGCAAAGTAGCAGGATATAAAATTAACACCCATAAATCAATCACATTCCTGTACACCAATGATGAATCAGCTGAAAGAGAAATCAGGAAAACTATCCCATTCATAATAACTTCAAAAAAAATTTAAATATTTTGGGATCAATATAACAAAAGAGTTGAAAGACCTCTACAATGAAAACTACACAACACAAAGAAATCAAAGACCTTAAAAAATGAAAAAGATCTCCCATGTTTTTGAATAGGCAGAATTAATATTGTCAAAATGACCATAGTACCCAAAGCAATATACAGATGTAATGCAGTTCCCACTAAAATTCCAGTGATGTTCTTCATAGAAAGAGAAAAAGCTGTCATGAAATTCATTTGGCAAAATAAGAGACCCAGAATAGCCAAAACAATTCTTAGTGAGAAAAGTGATGCCTCTGGCATCACAATACTAGATCTTAAATTGTACTACAAAGCTATAGTTAAAAAAAAAATGGCATAGTATTGGCACTAGAACAGACATGAAGATCAAGGAAACAAAGTAGAAGATACAGAGACATATCCACATCAATAAAGTTATCTCGTACTAGACAATGGTGCCATAAATATACATTAGAGAAAAGATAGCCTCATCAACAAATGGTGCTGGGAAAACTGGAAATCCTTATGTAGTAGATAGAATTTGGACGACTATCTCTTACTCTGCATATAACTCAAAGTGAATCAAGGACCTAAGCATTAGACCAGAGACCCTGCACCTACTAGAAGAAAAAGTAGGCCCAATTCTATCATGTTGCTCAGGAACCCACTTCCTCAATAAGTCTCCTAACGCTCAAGAAGTAAAATCAAGAGTCAATAAATGGGATGGTATCAAACTAAATAGCTTCTTCACAGCAAAGGAAACCATCAAGAACATGAATAGAGAGCCTACAGAATGAGAGAAAAATCTTTGCCATCCGCACTTCACATAGAGCATTAATCTCCAGGGTATATAAAGAATTAAAAAAAAACTTAACACCAAAACCCCCCAAATAACCCAATCAATAAATGGGCTAAGGAACTGAATAGACACATCATAGAAGAAGACATACAAATGGTCAAAAAATATGGAAAAATGTTCAACATTTCTAGCAATTAGAGAAATGAACATTAAAACTACACTGATACTCCAACTCACACCAATCAGAATGGCAATTGTCAAGTAACAGCTAGGTAAGGTGGCACCTTTCTGTAATCCTACCAGCTTGGGAGGCTAAGGCAATAGGATTTTGAGTTCAAAGCCAGCCTCAGCAATTAGGTCCTAAGCAACTCAGCAAGACCCTGTCTCTTAATGAAATATAAAAATAAAAAGGGCTGGGGAAGTGGCTCAGTGTTTAAGTGTCCCTTGGTTTAATCCCTGGTTCCAAAAATTTAATAAAAGGAAAAAGTCCAAATAAAAGAATATAAGTAACAATAAATATTAGCAAGGATGTGGGGAAAAATTTCACTCATACATTGCTGGTGGGACTGCAATTTGGTGCAACCACTCTGGAAAGCAGTATGGAGATTCCTCAGAAACTTGGAATGGAACCACTATTTGACCCAGTAATTCTATTCCTCAGCATACCACAGGGAAGAAGCCACATCACTGTTTTAACAGT